GTGTAAATACCGAATAGTTTCTCTGGTGTGAGAAACTGAAAGTGTAAATAAGGATGAAAATGATTAAAACAAATAACTGATAATTTGAAATAGGAAGAAAAGGTTGAAAGGGGTAGGGAAAATGGGAGGGGAAGGGGAAAGGAAAGAAGGGAAAGAAAAATTATGAGAAAAGGAAAAAATGGAAACAAAGTCTTTGTAAATAGGGAAGGGTGGAGCGGGTGCAAGGAGGACAGGGAATGAGGAAAAAGTAAGAACCAAGATCCATCATGTACAGGTACAAGTACCCAATGATAAATGTAAATGTATTGTATACCTAAAATGTACCAATAAAAGAATTTAAGGAAAAAAAAAAAAGATTATAGCCAGGGGCAGGGATTTAGCTCAGTGGTTCCGCTGCCTGCCTTAAAAGCATAAGGTCCCAGGCCGGGGATTTAGCTCAGTGGTTCCAGTGCCTGCCAGGCAAGCGCAAGGTCCCGAGTTCGATCCCCAGTACAAAAAAAATGCACAAGGTCCTGAGTTTGATCCCCAGTACAAAAAAAAAATTTTTTTTAATTATAGCCAGGCATGGCAGCGCACACACCTCTAATTCCAATACTGGGAGGCTGAAGTATGAAGATTACCGCAAATTCAAGGCCAGCCTGGGCAACACAATGAACTCAAGGTCAGCCTGAATTACACAGTGAGACCCTGTCTCAAAATAAAAAAAAAAACGAATTAGACAGGGCAGTGGCACCATGCCTGCCTCTCAAGCAAAAGGTTCTGAGTTTGATCCCCGGTACTAAATAAAAAAAAGCTTTCTCTTTTTCACTGTTTTGAAATATGTCTATTTTATTTTTACAATACTATAATATGAACCAAAACAAAAACTGAGCTTTTGGGGGACCTTTATTAACCTTTAAAATAAGGTAGCTACACTAGCACCTTAATATTTTTTCCAGGATAAAAACATGAATATAACTTTTCATTGATCAGTTTGTTTGTTTTTGGTACCAGAGATTGAACTCAGGACCTTGTGCTTTCCAAGCAGGCAGCAGCACCACTGAGCTAAATCTCCAGCCCTCACTGATCAGTCTGGTTAAGAAATTTTATCAAACTCTATTTTGGCACGATCCTGGGGATTGAACCCAGGGCCTTCCACAACCCAGACAAATACTCTACAATGAGTAACTTACCTCTTACTACACATTTTTAAAGTGAAGATGTTTACAATTTTAAAACTTTAAGTCAGGTGTGGTGGCACACACCTATAATCCCAGCACTCAGAAGGCAGAGGCAGGAGGATCACCAGAGTTTGAGGTCAGCCTGGGCTACACAGTGAGTTCAAGGATAGCCTGAACTGCATAGCGAGACTCTGTCTCAAAAAAAAAAAAAAAAACA